GGGGGGGGGGTCTGGTTGTGTGAATGATGGGAGCATTTAGCAGCAGAACGACAGAGGGGCAGCAGTTTTTGGATTCTCAGATTTGGGGTCAAGGGTAGCAGGAGGAGAGAAGAAAACCAGGAAATAAGAACAGTGGGAGTGTAGAGGTATGCATGAGCTTCATCCCCCGAGTGGTTCATTCCAAGAGTGTTGCGTCACTTTTTTTTCCATTTTTTTGAACAGATAACAGTCAGATGTTTACTGTTCGAGCACGCCTGTTAAAGGAACAGTCTGCCCTAAATCTAGAAGAGAAAAATGCACATGGCTCAGTCATTTATGACCAGTGGCCTGTCCTGACATCTAGTGGCAATAAGTTGGAAGAACAGCAATTTTTAATTTGAGACAGAGTGACCACAGATCACGTTCCACGTTTGCTGATTATTTTCCTGTTTTGGGCTTTATAGTCACCTGTTTGTCAGCCCTGTAGAAGTCTCAGAGAAGCCATAAAGCAGCTGGGGCAAGCATGGGAAGTTTTGTCAAGTTATTTTCTCTGGGTGTGGCCTCATGCTGTGAAAGTAACAGGATGGCGAGTGTATGTCATAAAGCTGAAGCGTGGTTAAACATTTCTACAACACGTGAAGGCTTTCCTTCTTTTTTTTCTCTAGGCCTCGTGAACGAAAACCATAACCACAAGAACAAAGCCTAAAAGCTACTGCTTAGTGTCAGCGGACACACAAATGCAGCTTTTTTTATTTAATTTTTCTTTTTAACTTTTAGAGGACTAGGAGCCAGGTACCTACATTTTGCTGAATAAATACTATGATTTAAAAACGGAAGTAAGGAATCTGAACGGGGAAGCAGATGAGTGCAATTATTTTGGTCACAACGGCTACAGTGTTGCACTGTAGATGTATCTAAATACAGAATTGAAAAGAAGAGAAGCTAAAGAAGAGGGTTGATTTCCTCGGGATCTGCTGCGTCTGCAGACCAGATCACCTTTAAAAAGATCTTTTGAAAATCTTCAGAAATTTCTGAGGTAAGAAAAACAAGCATGTGTCTGCATCTGCCTGTGCTCTTTCAGCGTAACCTCTTTTCCTGCTGCCATTTGGTTTAACCACATGTGTGTCCAACTCTGCTCGTCTTAGCTCTTACGTGCGTTGCTAAGCACTAGTGACGACGTCGCAAACTGCAGAAACACACTCAAACGCAATAGGGCAGAGCTTCCCCTTCCCTTCAAAACTGGCAGCTAGTTGAGTCAGAGAACAAGTGACACCAGATCCCGCCACCTCCAGCAAACACTCTCATATCACATCACCATCAGCTTCATGCTGTCTTCACCTGCAGTGCGCTGGCAGATTCTTCTTTCGGCACCTGTTGACTCCTTTTTCTGCTGCACAGCGGGAGGACTTTGTAGAAAGTGTGCGCGATGCTCCACGCGGTCGCTCCTGGCTCTGACCTCTACCTTCTGCCTATGCGGGTGATTTAGAGGCACAAGAAACGAGGTATTGACACAGTGTTTGTTTGTGTAGACATGTCTGTGAGGGCGTCATGCTGCTGTGCCCTGCGGTCAGAGTCATGCTTTGAATTTTGCTGAAGTTAACGGACTGTTATTAGTGCTTTCACTTTGCATTTAATCTTAAATCTGGAAATGTATATGTGTCGCCGTGTGCATACGAAAGCTTTTGTGTCACAAGATATAAAGACTTTGAAATTTCTGATACACTGAAAAAAAAGTTATCGTTATTGTTGTTTTTGTTTCGATGTTGGCTAAAGCGAATCACCAGTTACTGTATCACCAATATTTAATCATATCAATTTGATATTTTATGTTAGCACGTTTAACAGATATAAGAAACTCTTTACACGTGTTTCATGGTGTGTCATGAAAATTAATTCTCGGTTTCTGTAATTTCCTTAAGCACAACTCCTCAGATAGTATTACACAACTCTTTATCGTACAGGCATCATCAGGGAGCTTTTTTAAACTGAGTGTCTCAGCAGCTGTCAGACAAGTCTAAACAGGCCTGAATCTGGTAAAGCAGTTTAAAAAAACAACCACTATTACTGTGTTCCCCTCGTGGGCCTAGTGTAGGAAAGGGTGCGGACTTATAATGATGTTAGAGGAAGGATGATCCTCCCGTGATAAGCAGAGCCAGTCCCTGATCTTTCTTCCGGTCACTTCCTGCTGCCGTCCTAAGCAATTTTTGATTTATTTTCACTTTAACAGCTTTTTCATGGCGTTCTCATATAAAAACACATAATTTAAACAATTAACCATCATACAAGAATGGGGAGAAAAATCTAACTGAATCATTTTTTTTCATATTAGCTTGGCTGTGATGACCACAATTACTTCATATATAAAATTGTTGTTATTTTGCTATATGCCATTAGTGCAAGCCTTTTCTGTGCTTGCTGGCTGCTGCTTTATGACACCTTGTTTTTATCTGGGTCTGCAGCTTACCAGCCCAATAGACTTTATGGCACTTATCTCCAGAGAGCAGCTACATCTGCTTCAAAATCTGTTTAGAAATTCCCACAAACAAGCCCCAAAGAAGAAAGGTGGGGATATCCTGACTGATCAGTAAGGAACAAATATAGTGAAGGAAGACTGATATTTCTACTTGTAGCAATTTATTTTTAGCTGATCTAGGAGGACACACCTCCCTCTGCCTTTCCATGTGCACACTGAGGTGAAACGAGGAGCAGCACATAGGATAGAGCAGGTGTTGATGTTGCAGCATGAAAGGGATCGCTGAGGTGGGTTGCAAAGTGGCTAACAGATTCAAATAGCATGAAATGAATGCCCTGGTTGATTTTCAAGCAAAAGCCAAACTCTTAAATTTTTTTTCCTGTAGTGCTAATGACATCATCGGGATGATGATGTCAGGAGCAACAGCAACGAATGAAAGTGGATGAACTGAATTCATGGAATGCCCCTTTAATGAGTTGTTAACATTCTGTAAACAACCACGGCAGACCCAGTGGCATTTTGATACTTTTTTTTTATTAATCCCTCACGGTTGCTGCACATTCGCACTCAGAGCTGGCAGCTCTCCCGCTGCCAGCTCAACATAACAACAACAACCACCACCACAGGACCCAGTACAATATTTATATCGGCGGGCGTGATTGCGGATGCCGCGCAGGTGCGTCCGCCTCCTCTGCACGGCACCGCAGGCCACGCCCTGCCACACATTCACTTTTAGACTCAACGATTACATCATCTCATCTAAATACACTTGATACTTTTTTACATATAGCCGTTTGCAGTCATTCAGTTCTCTCACCCCAACCGGTCGCAGCAGATGGCCCCGCCCCTCCCTGAGCCTGGTTCTGTCGGAGGTTTCTTCCTGTTAAAAGGGAGTTTTTCCTTCCCACTGTCACCAATGTGCTTGCTCTTAAGGGGTCATATGATTGTTGGGTTTTTCTCTGTATCTATTATTGTACGATCTACTGTACAATATAAAGCGTCTTGAGGCGACTGCTGTTGTGATTTGGCGCTGTATAAATAAAATTGAATTGAATTGGATTTGAATTAAACAAGTATGCAGTTTTTTTGCAGTTGCTCTTGTTTTTTGGAGCATTTCTGTGTTAAACTGGGTTTAAAGCTACAAAGTATGTGTCATACTGCAGGAGGCTTCACACCTGCCAAAGTGAAAATGTAGGTTCACCGTTGACTGTTGCTCTGCCAGCTGCTGATTCCAGTTTTCAAAGCAAACTTTTAGTTTCAACTTTTGCAACAACATAACGGGAAACATGAAGCACTGTTCAGCTTTTTTCTTTCCACGCGCAGGCTACGAGATTTTTATTAAGGGCAAATTATGAAAATAAAGATAAAGCGCAACGTGGTATGTGCATCGGATGTTTCACAAGTTCTCCTCTGCCTTTCAGCTGTCAAAGGTACTTCAGCAAAAAAAATTATGATCAAAGGAAAGGCACGCTTGGTTATATCATCGGTGTCACTGTGAGGGGAAAAGAAAAATGGTCACCAATATGACTGAATGCAAGTACAATGAAACGGTCTGGAATCAGAAAATGGACGTGATGTACACCTACTTCTACCTGATTCTCTTCATACCCGGGTTGCTGCTCAACACCACTGCACTCTGGGTCCTCCTCAGATACATCAGGTAACACTCATACAAGTTCACACCTTTAGATTTTCAGGTACATTATCACTAACTCTCTCTGTATGTGCCGTTTAACAGCAAGAAGACCAAGGCGGTGATCTTCATGATAAACCTGGCGATCGCAGACCTGGCCCACATCCTCTCTCTGCCCCTCAGGATCTATTATTATTTCACGCACACCTGGCCCTTTGGACGCGGCCTCTGCTTGTTCTGCTTCTACCTGAAATATCTCAACATGTACGCCGCTATAGTGTTCCTGGTAAGCAGGCAGTTTAGGGAAAGCAAGCCTTGAATTTCCTGATAATGCTCATGACAGGGAACAAGGATAATCAAATGAGATCTTTCTAGTTTTCATTATATTTAAAATCAGTCAAATGTCAGTACAAAGCACTTTTGTTGTTGGTTTTGTTTTAAAAATCAAACTCCAAAGCAGAAAGTGATTTGAATGAAAGCCTCTGTCTTCCTTCTTGGAGCTGCTTTGCTTCCTGTGCCTCAGAATAAATAACAAAGTAGCTTCTTTTCATTTCTTTCTGATTTCAGGTGTGCATCAGCATGCAGAGGTGTCTGTTCCTGCGGAAGCCGTTCACGGCTCGACGGTGGCGGCGTCGCTATGACCTGCTGATCAGCTTTGTCGTGTGGGTTGTGGTTGGTCTGGGCTGCTCTCCCTTTATCCTGATGCGGAGTAGCAACAACAGCACCCATGCCCAGTTTCCCTTAGGTGTCACCAAACAGAGTTTAGACTCCAACGCCACTTCGGCGGGCTGTTTTAAAGACTTGCCCATGCGCCAACCTCCTCTCTCGGTGACGATCACCATGCTGGTCTTTCTTGAGGCGTGTGGTTTCCTAATCCCTCTAGCATGCATGTCATACAGCACTGTCCGCATCTTCTGGTCACTCAAGGAGAAGCAGATCCAGGATCAGCACAACTCCTTCAACTCCTCAGCACGCAGCCGCCTCCACTCAGTCACCTCCAACTGCCAGGCGGAGAAACCGAATGAAAAGCAGACAAATGGCGAGAAGCGGCGTGCTCTGCGGATGGTGGTGGGCTGCTTCATTCTCTTTTTGTTCTGCTTCGCTCCGTACCACCTCAACTTCGCGCTCTACCTGATGGTGAAGCAGAGTATCGTGTCCAGCTGCACTGTCAGCAGGGTGGTGCTCCAGTTTCACCCAGTGTCTCTGTGCATGGCGGGCCTGAGCTGCTGCTTCAACCCCATCCTTTATTACTTTCTTACAGCTGAGTTTAGGATGCACCTCAAAAGGCGCACCTCCTCCTTCTCGTCCTCCATCTCTTCCCCGACCACTTCACCGACCCAGTGTCCTTTGCAGAGCAGACTCATGAGCACCTCCTCATACAGGGAGTAGCATTGCTCAAAGGAAAAGTCCATGAAGGATTCTGTTGAACTTTAAAGCCGACTGACACCGGGTCCAAGCTGGATATGATCATCTGACATGTTGCAGCTGTCTGAACACAAACAACCCAAAAGACATTGACCTGAGTTGTGTGAAGCCCGCCTCCTCTAAAGCAAGCAGAAAACACCTTCCAACATGCAGACAGTATTGTAAACGCTGCCCAATGTTTCAGTTTGTGTGTATAAAACTTGATATAAGCTATGTAATAAAAGCTGTATGCGAAATGCACTCCCATTAAAAGCTTTAAGTCTCATCTCTGGCTCTGATGTTTGTTTCTTCACTGCGAGTTGGACTTTTTTTCTTTCAGGTAAAATGTGAAAACAGGTGCCAGCTCATTTTTGCTTCACTTCCTCTCAGAATGCAAAGTGGTGAAGGCAGTTGGCAGCAGTTACAGCAGCTCTGAAACCAGTAACTGTCAGGCGCCCCCCACCCACCCATCTGTACAGGCCAAGCCTGAGCCAACTCTGAGTCTACATCAGCCCCCAGACGCACAAATGCAGCCCACCTAAGGAAATCTACCAAGAATGAATCATCCACCAAAATGCACCTGCCTCTCGTTTCTCTGTTCTCACACGCATCAAAGTTTAGCGTTTGCTTTCTGAGAGTGTCACATTGCAACTTGTGAAAGTTTGCGTCGTGGCTTTGGTGTAAATATTTATTTTTGATTGATTTTGTTTTGATGTCCTGTCAATAAAACAAAAAAAAGTGCGTGTTGACTTTGTCCACAAGGAAATGGCAACTAAGAGTGTAATAGCAGAAGTGTCAAAAGAAAATTATTGTAAACCACACCCCTACGCTCACAGGAAGCCCTCTGTGTGTGTGTCTGTGTGTGTGTGCATGCTAAAATCCCCAGAACAGCAGACACACAGACGGGTGACACACATGCAACGAGTGATAGATAAGAAATCAAAACAGGAAAGAGTACGAGTGAAGACAAAAGTTAATGGATATGAAAGATAGATAGAGAGGTAGAATGAAAGAGAGGCAGAGAGAGAAAGAGGCGGGACGCTGAAATTAAAGAGTGTTAGAGGAGGAGAAAGGAGGATGGAGTTTTTCGTCTGATGCCTCGGTCTTATCTGCTTTTCGTTTCTCCAGCATCTTTAAAGACAGAGGTGAGAGGATGATTATTAATTGCTAATAATGTTCAGAAGTGTTCGGAGAAAGTAGCGAGTGTGTGGGGGTTTGTGTGTGGATACTTTCTATGTGGAGTCATGGCTCATGGGGGACTTTGTTTCTCCAGTGTGTGGAATGCCTGTTATGTTGAAGTGTGTGTGTGTGTGTGTGTGTGTGTGTGTGTGTGTGTGTGTGAGGGCCAGTATTGGGGTGTCTGGTCTTTATTTGTCAGTGTCAGTGGACTTCCTGGAGATCACGGCATATTTTCTTGTGTATCTGAACAGGGCACACACACGTGGAGGGACCCCGATGCTCACCGGCAGCGTTTTTGGTTCTGAAACACGAGGTCAGATCTTCGGAAAGCTGCTTACATGCCAGCAGCCCACAGACGGAGGTGAATCACAGCAGATGAGATTATGTGTTTCCACTGGCAAGACTTGATGAAAACTACTGAGTCCTAAGGTAGGGGAGCAGCACTTGCCTTTTCTTTTTATCTTTATCTTTTTAAATACAGCTCACTTCTCTCGGTTAGATGGAAATTTCAGCTTGATCCCGACGCGCGTTACCGTAAACATGTTACTTTCACAACAGATGGTCTCGGTTTGACTCCTGTACATACATGTCAAAGCCTCTGCTGCGAGAAGGAAACGAGAGCTTGTCACAGATTGGCCTTTTGCACATCATACAAATCAACACACAGCCTTGGAAGGAAGCACATGGTACGTGCATAAGTGAGAGTAATAAGTGGAGAATCATTTTCAAACAGTAACACACAGGTCAGCGGTCACTGAGTTAAAAGGCAGTCCGAGGGCTGACGGTCTACTGGGGCCTCGGCCTGAGCATAAAAGGCAGTCAGGGAGCTGAGAAGCAGTCCAAGCTTAGCATACCCCCCCTTTTTACAAATAAAATTCCACTGTTTGTTTGTGTATGATTGTGAGGAGTTAAGTTCAGGCCCAAATACTACTTTATACATTTACACTGGTACATCCCAGGCAGGGATCGCTGTTTATACGCCGCTACATTTACTTACACACTGCTAAAGGTACAAGTTACTAAACGGGTCATTATCAAAAGACTGCTGCCTAAACTTCTTTGGCTTGTAACCGCTTACAAAAACAGTTTGGGAGCCAAGCTGTGAAGAGTACAAACTAACAAAAAAATAGCTTTACCATTGAAGAAAGTAAAAATATATTCCCAAATAAAGGTTTTTTGTTTTTTTCTAAAAAGGTCCACCCTATTAATCATTTTACTCCCACGCAGAATTTATCTCGTGACTCTTTAGGGGAGGGCAGACACACGGGTGAGAAGGCGATACTCAAACCGTGCCATCTTTTTACTGCTGCAGCTGAAACAGCAGTATAATGCTAACAGCCAAATGTATGCATTCAAATGTAGTCAAATGTGCCGCTATATTTAGTCATTTCCCTGTAAAGAAATGTGGCGTTCTTTTAGTTAAGCAACAGGAACGCGAATATCGTGTATAAAAACCTGCTGAGGGAGCCCGTAAAGAGAACTAAGAGCAGTTAGTTAACCACTGTTTGTCTTGTGTTTGGCAAGTGCCATTTCCCCCTCACGCATGAAAATAGCTACACATTTTTTGCTGCGTGTTTTGAGTATAGTAGGTGCAAAAAACAAAACAAAAAATGCTGTTCTGAACAGTTTACGTGGCAGTAAGTTTCTTGTCAAATATGGACAATATTTTACTGGCTGATTTGCATTTTCACATTGATAAAATGGTTCATAAATGATCCTGATATGTCTTGAAACTGGTTAAAGTAGGTCTAATATGCTTTGCTAACATTCTGCCATACATATATAGTGTTCTCATAGTGCTAAACAAGGCCAAAGGTCCAAATAATGACATCAGAGTACGCATTACTAATCCCTGTGAGTCAAAGTTCAGGCTTCAGAATACTCTAAACACAGTTTCTGTTCTTTTTTTCACTGCTTTTTGCTCTGGATAATGTCACTGAAAAATATCCCAATGCTGTTAGCACAGCAGCTCCACCCACCAGCTATTCAAACCTTTTGGTTGCAAGGAGCAGCGAATCAGAAGAAAGCTAGCTTAAAGAGAGGGGGAAGGGAGGAAGACAGTGTATGAACTAAGGGTCCACATGATAAACAGTGTCCCTTTTAAACTGATGGAGGATTAATGGACTAATGGAGGCCAGAAATAAACACATGCAGGTGTTTAAATTCAAATTCAAATT